CTATATATATATGTATATATACATATATCTATATATATATGTATATATATATGTATATATACATATAATTTTTATTTTATTTTTTTCCTACGTTTTTTTTTTTTTTCCAACAGTTGATCTTTTTTCACCAAGCTGCTTGGCAATTGCCCTGTAGCTCTTTCCAGCCTTGTGGAGGTCTACAATTTTGTCTCTGGTGTCTTTGGACAGCTCTTCGGTCTTAGCCATGTTAGTAGTTGGAGTCGTACTGATTGTGTGGGGTGGACCGGTGTCTTTATGCAGCTAACGACCTCAAACAGGTGCTTCTAATTTAGAATAATCAGTGGAGTGGAGGTGAACTTTTTAGAGGAGGACTAACAGGTCTTTGAGGGCTAGAATTGTTGCTGATTGGCAGGTGTTCAAATACTTGTTTGCAGCAGTAACACACAAATAAATTATTTTTAAAAATCATACATTGTGATTTCATTATATATATATTTTTTAGATCATGTCTCTCACAGTGGACATGCACCTAAGATGAAAATTTCAGACCCCTCCATGATTTCTAAGTGAGAGAACTTGCAAAGTCGCAGTGTTCAAATACTTATTTCCTCATTGTAAAAGAGAGTTGACAGAGGCTTCTTGTGTCATTAGGCTTTTATTTTTCTAAACAGATTGAACTTGTTTGAGCTGTGAGTAAAGACGTTGCTCACTGATAACAATGTTCTAACAGAAGTTTTTGAAAGAGCAAACATCGACACATTTGTAAAACATTTAGATCCTGAAAATGAATTTGTCAAATTTCCAGACTCTTTTGTTTTTTTTTCTATTTGAAAATATGTTCAAGTTAAAATGTAAATTAAAAAAAACACGTCATAATTTGTCAAAACATTTTATGTCGAGTTTAACCTGAGGAATAACTTCAAAACTAACATATGCAGCCTGTTTTTTAATTGGAGCCCTTCACAACAGAAGTGGTGTGACTTTTAGCAACTAATGATTTTCTTTACTGATTTTTACAGACCAACATCATGGACAAGATTTTGGAGGGCCTGGTCAGTTCCGATCACTCTGTGCCAGTAAAAAGAGCCATCGTGAAGAAGGTCATGGAGGCAGCAGAGAAGGAGGTGACAGAGGAGCAGTGTCAAGCCTTGTTCACACTCACCACCCGTCTCATCCTGCTTGGTGAAGATGCTTTCCAGAAGCAGATTGGCCTCCAGGTTCTTGATGCCTATGCCCGCTACCACCGGCCAGAGTTTGAGCATTTCTTTAATAAAGAATTTGCTCTCAGTTTGCTCCAGCAGGGCCATGGGCAGCTGGACCACAGAGACCCGGCTATAATAGACTACATTCACTGCTGCCTGCGGCTGCTCATCAGCTGCCCCTCTGTGCTGGAAATCTTCAGTGTGATCCAAGTGGAGGTTTTAAGGATGGTGTGTGAACGCCCTCAGCCTGCTTTCTGTGCCCATCTGTGCACTCTGCTGTCAGACTTCATGCAGTGCATCCCGAGGGACAAGTCGGGCGTTTTGTTCTGTCAGCAGCTCGTTCGGACTATCAGCTGCTTTCAGTGTTTCGCCAGCCAAGAGAGAGAACTGAAAGAGTATGTGGAGCAGGTAACCAAGGTTAGCACGCTGCTGCAGAACATCTGGAAGGCTGACCCAACCACTCTGTTGCCTTCACTGCAGGAAGTTTTCACTATCATCTCTTCCACAGGTGATATTCCTTTTAATCACACAATATCCTTTTATTGGTTAAATGATGCCTTTGTGTTTCTGCTGTGAAATTTTTAGATGTCTGAAACTTACTGACCCAGTGTGATGTCAGATGTGTACAAAAAAATGTTGTTTAGATGCATGTTTGAGGTTTGTCACTGGAAGTTGTTTTAATTTTAGGTTTATATGAATATGAGTAGGGCAGCACGGTGGCGCAACTGGTAGAGCTGCTGCCTCTCAGCGAGCAGGTCCTTGGTTCAAACCCCGGTCCAGGGGCCTTTCTGGGTGGAGTTTGCATGTTCTCTCCGTGCATGCGTGGGTTTTCTCCGGGTGCTCCGGTTTCTTCCCACAGACCAAAAACATGCATGTTAGCCTGATTGGTAACTCTAAAATTGTCCCTAGGTGTGAGTGAGAGTGAATGGTTGTTTGTCTCGTTTGTCTCTCTGTGGCCCTGTGATGGACTTGCGACCCGTCCAGGGTGTATCCCGCCCCTCGCACAGTGATTGCTGGACATGGGCACCAGCGACCTCCGTGACCCAAAATGGAATAAGCGGGTAAAGATTATGGATGGATGGATGGATGAATATAAGTAGGCCTGTCACGATGAACAATAAATCAATTAATCGCATGTTAAATGAAAATTATCAACCTCATTTTCATTTATCGGCTTTATCGTTTCTTCGTGTCTCTCTCTTTCTACTGAAGACACTGGATGACAAAAGGCTCAACTCGGTGCTCTTCACTGATCCCTCGCTTTCTCTTGAAAATCTCTTTTAGCCGTTCAATGCGTTTTTGGATCGTTAAAGCAGCTAAGCTGAGAAGCTAAGCTACGAGCTAAGCTAACAGGCCGACCTCAGGAAAAATCCTCCGTCTTGTTGAAGCTCCAAAATTCACAGTTAAAACCCATGCCTTCTTCTAAAAAGATGTTTTTCTCTGCAAAAAGAAGCTGAGAACTTGTTTACTGATTTTTTAAATTAAAAGCTTTATGTGAAAAATGCTATGCTAAAGAGCTTAAACCACACAGAGCGTCCGCCATTTTGAGAACTGGAAAAAAGAAGGAGAGACAGTCCATGTCACGTCAAGGGGCCTCCCTCCCATTTTTCAGAGATGCACTGATCGCTCCCTCACTATTCATCCTTCGGTTCAAACAGTCTTATACTGCCATCCATTGATCAAAAAAGTTGTAGGTAGATTTTAGTTCAAATATTCTGGTGTTCAATACCAGTTTATTTGTCAAGAGATTCTTTATTGTCATTCGCACCACATATGGTACATGTGGTGGGACGAAATTATGTACACATGGTACCAGTTACATCTAACAATAAAATGTAAAAGAAAAACAATGATAACATCTAAGATATGATCTAAGAAAAACATAAACTAAAAATACACTAAGCACTAATGGCATAAAAACATTACGTCGAACATCAGCATGAGTCTGTGTGAGCAGATGAGCACGAATGAACACATCAACATTGAAACAGATCAGCAGCAACATTGAAATAGATCAGCAGCAACATGATGTGATTTTTCACAGTAATTATTCTGGTTAAAGCAGTCGTCCTCCAATGCGAGAGTTGGGGGTTCGAATCCGCCAGCAGTCACATGCTGAAGTGTCCCTGGGCAAGACACTGAACCCCTCATAGCCTCCGATGTGTGTCCCATCAGTGTTTGAATGTGATAAAGCTCTGATTAGTCTCTTTAGAATGATTTGTTCAATTAGCTTTGTAGAGATCTAGTAGAGTGCTGTATGAATGGGTAAATGAGAACACAGATTGTGGTGTAAAGCGCTTTGAGTATCTTGAAATGAGATAGAAAGGTGCTCTATAAGTACAGTCCATTTACCATTTACCAGCTCAATTTCTGGAAACCCCAGGGACCTGGAGTTCGATTCAGGCCGGGCTGCTGCAGATTTGATGTCAGCAGACTGCTGGTCATTGATTAAATCGCTGGCCCAGGGGCTTCACGTCACAGATGAGTCATACTTCCAGCGACTGCTCCTTACCACCATTTCTTTCAGCTGCTTGCTTTTGACCAGTTGTGTGAAAGAGAGAACTCCTAGTTTATTTAGAAAAATATCAACGCAACAGATGGTACCAGTGCTCTGGACAAATGACGAGGTGCAGTTATTGCTGAGCTGAGACTCATGGGGTCTTGCTATGACGACCGTGCCCACAATGAGGTGGTCCTCTGCAGACAGCAAACTATCAGAGCTGGGGGAAGATGTGCTCGGCTGACTGTGGCTGGTACAACAATGCACGAGGCAAACAAGATAAACAACCATTCACCTTTCACTAACACTTAGAGACAATTTAGAACAGCCAATTAGTCTAACGTGCATGTGTAGTCACATTTAGTCACGTTTATAAAAAAAGAAGTAAAGTAGGGTAGTAGCTGCAAGTCATTCACACCACATACTCTGAGGGCTAACACATTTTGCATGATCTTGCAGTATTACATGAGACCATCACAAGGTTTAACTAAAATAGCAATAACAGTCATTTGTTATCACACAATAATTTTTAGTTTAAAAGTTTGCCACAACAAGTGGTGGGTGATATGCACACCTTCAAGGAATGCTAGGCCTTTAAACATTACAGCTTTTTTTTTCTTTACAGTATTTATGGTGGGGCTACATTCTACTTTAACACAAATTTAAGTTAACGTTATTTAACTTTTTTTAGACCCGTCCTTTGAGCCATCCATTGCATTGGCCAGTCTGGTCCAGCACATCCCTGTCCAGATGATCGTGATGCTCATCAAGAGTCTCACCACAGACCAGAACGTCCGAGATGGATGCATGACTCAAGCACTCTGCAGGTAACCCTTAATACTCACTCATTCCAAGCTAAAACTTGTAGCCAAAGCCAAAAAACATTATTTGAAAAGAACACAAATTATAATTAACACTGTTAAATCTTCATGCTTCATAAGTTAATAAACTTTGATACATGTTTGGTTCAGGTTGCAGTTATGGTAACTTCTGCAGTATTTTTCTATAATGCAATGTATAGATCTTAATACAGTAGTGCTTGAAAAATTTAGAACGCTATAATTTTCTATATTTCTACATAAATATGACCTAAAACATCATCAGATTTTCACACAAATCCTACAAGTATATAAAGAGAACCCAGTTAAACAAAAAAGACAAAAAATTATACTTGATCATTTATTTAGGAGGAAAATGATCCAATATTATATATTTGTGATGGTAAAAGTTTGTGAACCTCTAGGATTATCAGTTAATGTGAAGGTGAAATTAGAGTCAGGTGTTTACAACCAAAGGGATGATGATCAGGTGTGAGTGGACACCCTGTTTGATTTAAAGAACAGGATCTATCAAAGTCTGATCTTCACAACATGAAACCTCTGTAAAGAGTTTGGACTCCACCAATCCACAGTCAGACAGGTTGTGTACAAATGGAGGAAATTCAAGACCTTTGTTACCCTCCCCAGGAGTGGTGGACCAACAAAGATCACTTCAACAGCAAGGTGTGGAATAGTGGACGAGGTCACAAAGGACCCCAGGGTAACTTCTAACAACTGACGATCTCTCTCACATTAATGTTGATGTTCATGAGTCCACCATCAGGAGAACTGAACAACAATGGTTCATGGCAGGGTTGAAGGAGAAACCACTGCTCTCCAGAAAGAACATTGCTGCTCGTCTGCAGTTTTATAAAGATCACGTGGACAAGCCAGAAGACAACCGTCTTCTGGAAGAATGTTTTGTGGACAGATGAGACCAAAATAAAAAAATTAGTTTAAATGAAAAGTGTTCTGTTTGGAGAAAGGAAAACTCTGCATTCCTGTATAAGAACCTTATCCCATCTGTGAAACATGGTGGTGGTAGTATCATGGTTTGGGCCTGTTTTGCTGCATTTGAACCAGGACGGCTTGTCATCATTGATGGAACAATGAATTCTGAATTATATCAGAGAATTAGTTGCAGGCATTGCTGAACATTGGGGGATCACACCTAATACTGAAAGCAAAGGTTCACATACTTTTACCATTACAAATATGTAATATTGGATCATTTTCCTCAATAAATAAATGATCAAGTATATTTTTGTCTCATTTGTTTAACTGAGTTCTCTTTATCTACTTTTAGGACTTGTGTGAAAATCTGATGATGTTTTGGGTCATTTATGCTGAAATATAGAAAATTCTACCACGTTCACAAACTTTATAGCACCACTGTATAAGGTTGTTTTGTCCTGTCCATACAGGATAATTGACTGGTTGTCTTGGCCTTTGGCCCAACATGTTGATACCTGGGTGATCGCTCTGCTGAAAGGACTGGCTGCAGTTCAGAAGTTCACTATTCTCATAGATGTCACTCTGTTGAAAATTGAACTGGTTGGTACCTTCTGATTTTATTTATTTGTAGACCTTACAGTGTGGACAGAAAAAGCTTGCAACAAAGACGTTAAACCAAAATAATTATCAACATTTTACTTTTAATTTGGCTTGAAGGAAATCACTGAGGCAAATTATACAGGTCCTTCTCAAAAAATTAGCATATTTTGATAAAGGTCATTATTTTCCATAATGTAATGATAAAAATGAAACTTTCGTATATTTCAGATTCATTGCACACCAACTGAAATATTTCAGGTCTTTAATTGTTTTAATACTGATGATTATGGCATACAGCTCATGAAAACCCAAAATGCCTGTCCCAAAAAATTAGCATATTTCATCCCACCAATGAAAGAAAAGTGTTTTTAATACAAAAAACGCCAACATTCAAATAATCGTGTTCAGTTATGCACTCAATACTTGGTCAGGAATCCTTTTGCATGAATGACTGCTTCAATGCGGCGTGGCATGGAGGCAATCAGCCTGTGGCACTGCTGAGGTGTTATTGAGGCCCAGGATGCTTCGATAGCGGCCTTAAGCTCATCCAGAGTGTTGGGTCTTGCGTCTCTCAACTTTCTCTTCACAATATCCCACAGGTTCTCTATGGGGTTCAGGTGAGGAGAGTTGGCAGGCCAATTGAGCACAGTAATACCATGGTCAGTAAACCATTTACCAGTGGTTTTGGCACTGTGAGCAGGTGCCAGGTCGTGCTGAAAAATGAAATCTTCATCTCCATAAAGCTTTTCAGCAGATGGAAGCATTGAAGTGCTTCAAAATCTCCTGATAGTTAGCTGCATTGACCCTGCCCTTGATAAAACACAGTGGACCAACACCAGCAGCTGACATGGCACCCCAGACCATCACTGACTGTGGGTGCTTCACACTGGACTTCTGGCATTTTGGCATTTCCTTCTCCCCAGTCTTCCTCCAGACTCTGGCACCTTGATTTCCGAATGACATGCAAAATTTGCTTTCATCCGAAAAAAGTACTTTGGACCACTGAGCAACAGTCCAGTGGTGCTTCTCTGTAGCCCAGGTCAGGCGCTTCTGCCGCTGTTTCTGGTTCAAAAGTGGTTTGACCTGGGGAATGCGGCACCTGTAGCCCATTTCCTGCACACGCCTGTGCACGGTGGCTCTGGATGTTTCTACTCCAGACTCAGTCCACTGCTTCCGCAGGTCCCCCAAGGTCTGGAATCGGCCCTTCTCCACAATCCCCCTCAGGGTCCGGTCACCTCTTCTCGTTGTGCAGCGTTTTCTGCCACACTTTTCCCTTCCCACAGACTTCCCACTGAGGTGCTTTGATACAGCACTCTGGGAACAGCCTATTCGTTCAGCAATTTCTTTCTGTGTCTTACCCTCTTGCTTGAGGGTGTCAATGATGGCCTTCTGGACAGCAGTCAGGTCGGCAGTCTTACCCATGATTGCGGTTTTGAGTAATGAACAAGGCTGGGAGTTTTTAAAAGCCTCAGGAATCTTTTGCAGGTGTTTAGAGTTACGTCGTTGATTCAGATGGTTAGGTTAATAACTTGTTTAGAGAACCTTTTCATGATATGCTAATTTTTTGGGACAGGCATTTTGGGTTTTCATGAGCTGTATGCCATAATCATCAGTATTAAAACAATTAAAGACCTGAAATATTTCAGTTGGTGTGCAATGAATCTGAAATATATGAAAGTTTCATTTTTATCATTACATTATGGAAAATAATGACCTTTATCACAATATGCTAATTTTTTGAGAAGGACCCGTAAAACACTTCACATTTTTCAAACTAATATATTTGTCTTTTTCTCTTTTAATCTGCAGGTTTTCAGTCGTCTGTGGTACCCCATTGTGAGACAGGGGGCGCTAGCTGTACTTTCCCATATGCTGCTGAGTTTCCAGCACTCACCTGAGGCCTTCCATTTGGTAAGTGAGCCACTGCTCCCCTCACACTCATTTCCCAATCGTATGTCTGACTTGTTTGTTTCTAATGTTTGTCTTTTCAAGCCTAAATTACTTTGAAGCCATACAGACGTCTTTCCCCTGAAACCCTAGGCTTCTGCACCACAGTCACTAATGATATTTAAACTACCGTAACTAGAGAAATTGCATTTCCTGCGAAAATGCAGTGTGGATGCTTATTTCAGAAGAACTTGCTGAAAAACAGCTGAAATTGGATTAAAATGGTAAATGGTAAATGGACTGTACTTATATAGCGCCTTTCTATCTTATTTCAAGATACTCAAAGCGCTTTACACTACAATCTGTGTCCTCATTTACCCGTTCATACAGCACTCTACTAGATCTCTACAAAGCTAATTGAACAAATCATTCTAATGAGACTAATCAGTGCTTTTAGATCACATTCATACACTGATGGGACACACATCAGAGGCTATGAGGGGTTCAGTGTCTTACCCAGGGACACTTCGACATGTGACTGCTGGTGGATTCGAACCCCCAACTCTCGCATTGGAGGATGACTGCTCTAACCATTTAGTCACAGCCGCCCCAAAACATTCTGAAATGTAGCTGAAATGGAAGAACAAGCCTAAATTAGCAGAAGAAAACAGAAATAACACATATTTGCTAAATTAGGTTTAAATAAGCTGAAATTAGCACAAAAAATAGTGGAAATTTAGCTGAAAAGGCAAAAAGGAGCTTAAGGTACCAGAAGGAAGCAGAGCTAAATGAAGCAGAAAGAGCAGAAAAAGCTGAAATAGCAGAAAAAAGCTGAAAGGAGCATACCAAGCTAAAATTAGTTTAAAGAAGTTAATTAGGCTGAAAATAGCTGAAATTAACATGAAAAACTTGATTTATCTGAAAACAGCTAAAGTAAGCTAAAAAGGTAAAAAAAAAAAACTTAAATTAGCAGGAGAAAGCAGAAAGAACATGCTTGCCCAATGTGCTGAAAGAAGCAGAAATGGACACAAAAAAAGTGGAAATCATCTGGAAAAACCTGAAATTAGCAACAGAAACAAACAGCTGAAAAGTAGCTAAATTTCCTATGAGGGGAAAAAATTGCCAGAAAATGCTAAATATTTCAAAAATTAAAGTTGCACCAATACCAAAGGTCATAGCAGGATTGTCCTAAAAGAGCTGAACGTTTTGATTTATGATTTGTTGAAACAGCTTGAAAGCCGCAGGATGAGAAAGATGATGAAAAACGTACAGAAGAAAAATGGATCACAATATTGTGAATGTTTCATAAGCGTTCACACAATGATATGTAAAGCACCCTGGTACCGAGCAATGGCCCCTGGAGTTGGCTATTTCATAAAAATAAAAATAAAAAATAAATAAACTGCACAAGTACTATAGAAAATACTCAACAAATGAGAGTCTGTGTCGTGTTTACTGATGTGCATCTGCCCTCTGAATGGCCATACTTCACATTTTGATTTATATCGGCTGCACCTTCACTGTTTTCAGCAACATAGAAAGGTCATTATTTTCCTCTTGTCTGTTCTCATTGCTCAGGTTGTTCCACGTGTAGTGGATCTCGTCAAGTCTCTGAAGACAGATGGGCTCCCCACCAGTAAAGCTTTTTTGCTGCAGTTTACTGAGCTCATGCACTGTATGGTGTATCAGTACTCTGGCTTCCCTGACCTCTATGACCACATATTAGAAGCTATCAAGGTGAGGAATAGGTGTAGGAGACACACACTGCAAGGAACCACGTATACGCACAGCCACTACCACTGATCCCGCTCTGGCTGAAAGACCTCCTGCATCACACCCCTAACCTCCCCAGGATTTTTCTATCTAAAGTAGGGATGCACAATATTGGATTTTTGGCCGATATCCAATATGCCAATATGTTAAAACTTATTTGGCCGATAACCGTTACCAATATTGTGTGTGTGTATATGTATATATATATATATATATATAT